TTCCACTGGTTGGCCAGGAATCCATTGTATGACACCATCAGGAAGTCCTGCTTCTCTAAGTATTTCCAATACTATCCAATTTGATAAAACGGCATTTGGGGAAGGTTTCCAGAGTACAACATTGCCCATTAGAGCTGGTGCACCTGCAAGATTAGCACCAATTGCAGTGAAATTAAATGGTGTAACAGCATAAACAAATCCCTCCAGTGGTCTATACTCTAATCTGTTCCATACTCCTGGTGAATTTTTAGGTGGTTGTTGTTGATATATTTCTTGTGCATATTGACAATTAAATCTCCAAAAATCAATTAACTCTGCTGCTGCATCTATTTCTGCTTGCCTTTCATTAAAAAACAAATAAAATACATAAAATAAATATATATAATTTATCAACTTAAAATTTTTTCTAAAATAAAAAAAAACAGCAAAACGACATGCTAATTATATTATTACCATGCATTTTTACCCTGACCAAGCATAGTAGCAGCCATTAGTTTATATCTGTATTTATTAGCAACTAAATCAGCAGCTTTTAAGAATATAGCAGCTCGATCAGTAAATGATAAAGCTTCCCAAGTGTTTTTTTTGGCTATCAGTGCACCCTCAATTGCTTGATTTATAAGTTCTGGATTTGCTTCATGAGTTTTTGCTAATACTGTAGCATGATCTGTTGGAATTCTCTGTTCTTGAATATGGCCAGTAAAATGCTACATATATACATATATTTATTTATTTCAGTAAGAGTGATGATGATGGTGATGGTGATCAGGGAAAAGAAGGGATATGATGATAAAGATTATATGAATCAGATTATTATTATTATTATTATTATTATTATTATTATTATTATTATTATTATTATTATTATTATTATTATTACCTTTTTACCGTTTATAAAAACAGGAATTTCTATTGGAACCTGAGACTTTAATTCATCTAAAGCTTCAATAAGCTTAGCTCGATCAACACTACCAGGTTGATAACTTCTCTATTATAAATATCAATTAAAATTAGATCAATTGTTTGTTTAATTGATTTAGGTTGATAATAAAAAAATAATTTTTTTTTATAAGATAATTAAATAAATAAACTTACCAATGGTTCGTTATGAATTTCTGGTATTTTAAAAGTTCCAAGTGTAGCAGACATTTTTTATATTTAGTTAAAAAGTATTGTAATTAATTTATATAAAAAATTTTTTTTAATCAAAAATTTTCCAGCCTATTTATACTTTTAATAATTTCAGGGGAGAGCTTCTTTTACTTTCATAAAAATTAGATTTTCATATAAATCTGATTAAATTGATCAAATTATTTATTCCCACGAATTAATTAATGATTTCATTCTTCATATATGTTAATAATATGCACGTTAAATTTTGTATGCAGATTTTAGAAAAAAAATTTTTAATATAAAGTTTCTCATCTAATCTTATGAGGCAACGAAAATAAAGTTAAAATTATCATAGTAGGAACAGAGAGCAACTCCACATGAACGTGAAAGTTTTCACTTGGCCTTTTTCCTTGGCCTTACTTTAAAGTTGTTGTTGCTATTTAAATTTTATTATGATTTAGATTCAATTCATTATAATTAATCTTTTTATGCACAATTCGGAAAATGTAGAAATGCATGTTTGTTCCTTGTAAATAAAAAAATAGCTAATTAGTTTTGTTACAGTACATTAAATTTTTTAAATAGTCTTAATGTGTATATATATTCAGTATAACCATATAGTATTAGTTATTAGAACGCAGCTTTTCGAAAATACTACATACATAATAAATAATATACTGTACATCAGGAAATTTTTTTAGGGGATAAATATCGAGATACATCATTTATCGATATTTATCTCAATAAAAAAATCGAAAATTAACGAAATAAGATAATTTGCGATAATTATTTTACGATATTAATATGTAACGATATTTAGCATCATCGAAATTAATTACCAAGATAATTAATGATAAAGATAATATATGAAATTAATCACCAAGATAATTAATGATAGAGATTATATACGAAATTAATCAGATTGATTGCTTATTTCCTTCATGTCTGTTTGATTCTTGTTATGGTATAATTATGTACTTTCCTTTTGGCTCTAGAATTTGCACTTGTACTAGCCGCACTCATAGTACTTAGTTTCTTCAAGTATTTTATTGCTGATTCTCTTGACGGTTTTCCTTCTAGAGCTATTACCAATTAATTTATTCTTTGTAAATTTTGTTAATTTCATCTCTCGATTTTGATTCATTGTATGTTAATAAATTAATAACAAATTGTTTGTTCCCGCAAGTGGAAATTTAGAAATTAATTTCAAATGTTCCATGAAACAAAAATTAATTTCTTCGTTTTTTACGCTTCCATTTGTTTCTTCTTCTAACGTCTTAGCTCTTTTTTTAATTCAAACATGGTGTTCTACCAATGCTTAAAATTCTTTCTTGCTATTTAATTACAGTTACCAGCATTTTACATTTCCTAATTAATTGTAATTTATTTTTCTTTTCTTTATAACGGTCTCTTTTTTTAATTTTTTCTAGACTTTGTTTTGCAAAACTTTGATCCTATAACGATCACTTGTTTTGACGTTTCTTCCTCCTTGCATTATTTCATTTGTTCTTCCATCAAAGATCCTATTATCCTTTCGGTATCCATTTCTTTTCTTTATTTCCATTCTTTAATTAAAACTTTCCGAATGTATTATTTTTAAATTTTCGTAGGTCCAGGCTCCCTTTTTTTTTTTGAACTATTTTCCAAAGACTCAATCTATTTGAATTTAAGAGGTGTATCTAGTCCTCTGGTTCGTTTGTGCTTTGTTTGTATTTTGTTTTGCTAATCATAATGATTTTGGAACATTTCGGCAATTGAATTTTCATGTTCATTCATGTTCCGTCTTCTCTCCTAGGATACTTTTTCCGTGACAGGGTGTCTGATCAATTCTTCCGTATAAAAGGGTCGAATTTTGAATTTTCAAATTTTCGAACTTTAACCTTTTCAAATTTTCAAATTTTAACCTTTTTGAATTTTTGAATTTTAACCTTTTTTGAAAGTTATTAAAATTTTTAAAACAATTTCTTCGATCTATTTGTCGTCATAACCTTTCTTTAACACTTCATTGATTCTAAGGGTATATTTTCGTCATAGCCTTCCTTGAGCGCTTCTTTGATTCTAAAAGTATAGTTTTTAGTTATAGTCTTCCTTGAACACTTTGTTGATTTTAAAAGTATAATTTTCTTTGTAGCCTTTCTTGAACGCTTCTATATTCTAACAGTATAGTTTAGTCCTAAACTTTCTTGATCTCTTGTCCCTTATCCTTTACTACTATTCTCAATGTACAGTTTTACTTCGTTTGCTTTTTATCTCCGGAATTTTACGTCTAGGCTTCTTCTGCCATTAATTATATAGTATATGGTGATAACATATAGTGTCTTTCGGTGGTGATATTATTTACTCTTCCTTTCGTTCGGTGGCTATGGTATTAATGCTTCCTTTCGTCTTTAACCTTGTTTTCACAGGCAATGTTTTTCTTACCACGTATCCCGTTTCCTTCACTTTAAAATAGTATGTATCTTAACTTCAGCTTTTCAGCCAAAAAACTTAATTTCAATAATATATATGTCTATACAGGTTCGTGACTATAATTAGGGATAGGGCGGTTCCGTTCGGCTCTTGTGGAGCCGCTCCAATAGGTCGCTCTACATTATACAAAAATCAAAATGATGTATTTTTTTTTAAACAGAATTTTCCAAAATCATTTGTCATTTAATAGCGAGTCCACTACTTTTAAAGGAAATTGTATCACATAAATACAATAATTTTAGTAATTTCTTGCAAAATAAATATATAGTAATAGTAATAGTGTTACGAAAAAATTTTAATTGAATTCGACAATGTGTCGCGAAAATAAAATAATTGAATTAGCAATGTGTCGCGAAAATAAAGTAATTGAGTTTAGCAATGTGTCGTGAAAATAAGATAATTGAATTTAGCAATGTGTCGCGAAAATAAAGTAATTGAATTTAGCAATGAATGTGTTGCAAAAATAAAGTATAAAAAGGCTGGTATCCAAACCAACTCGGAAGTTTTTTCGTCTTTGTTTTAATATTTATAATTAATATTAATACAATAAAATTAAATAAATTTATATCTTTTTAAAAAAAAATTGGATGAACAAATACAAGAAATCTTTGATGATCAAGAAATAGGCAACTTCCACCGGGAGAATTTTTACATCGACCCTGATGAATCAATTATTCGTTTTTTTATTATTTTATTATTATATATTTATTTAATAAAGAAAAAATTTCACGCGATATATTCAAAGATCTTTCTTAAAAGGAAAGATCATCCAACAGAGCGGCTCCTTAACGGAACCGTCCCATCCCTAACTATAATCACTTCAGCAAAGGATATGAGGATCCGTTTGCAAATTATAGTCCTGACATAGAATACACGAGAAGACCTTTAGAACGATGATAGGAAAAATTTAAGGTATGATTATTTATTAATTTTTAGTGTTTTATTTATTTATTGACATTAAGTTAAGTTTGTATGGAAGATCCGTGTTCAGTTTATTATGAAAAAACTTGTCAATCTTGACCAAAGAAATACAAATAAGGAAATTGTTTGCATAAAAAACTTCAACCATTCTTATATATATGATGCATCTAGTCTAATCCTGGCAACTTTTACATGGGGCATGCTGCAACAAAACCAGACAAAGTGAAAATTTGTATTACCAAGAATTTTAGGGTTTAACATCATCATTGTATATACCACAAATATAATTAATGAGTACTGCAATTATAATTTTTAATCCAATATTTTAAAGAAGCTGACAACGAAAAAAAAAAATAATCATTGATCATCTATAATAATACAATCAATTTTGCTATTTCCTTTTGAAAATTTTTGAGACAGTATTATTTACCAATTCTTTCTGATTGTATTCTTTTGTTAATTGAACTATACATAAAAATTTTTTCAGTAGGAATGAATTATCTAGCCTATTTTTTTGAGAAATTACATTATTATTAATAATTAATGGAATATATCAACATGAGCTAAATAATAGTCACTTACTTTTTTTTCAAGTTTATAAAAGCAATAAGGAATCTCAGTCACATATATATGCTGGTCACAATTCTTGGTGATGGTTGCAACCATATTTGCAACATATAAAAATGGTTTGCGACACCTGGTTGCAACCACCTTTGCAACCACTTTGGTTTCCTTTTTGGATTGCGACATGGAACACTACAGTCACATCAAAAGATTGTCTTGGCATACCAGCCTTTTCAAATGTTGGCTTTGTTTTATTTTGAGCAGCTTTTATTGTCTCTTCTACTGAAGATTTTAAATTAAGAACAGCAGCCAAAACCAACAAAACAGATGAAAGATCTTCATTATCTAAAATTTCCATCATTTCACTTTGGTTCAATCTGCAAATATATCCATTAGGGTTATCAATATACAAAACCATCATCAATAATCCTATAAATTTTATTCAATAATTAATATTAAGTTCAATCATAAAAAGTCTGCTAGAAGTAACATCAACTTGTATTTACCTGCATGTATAATACCAATAGTTTGCATCTGTTTGGTTTGACTTTTGTTCCAATTTGCTTTTTTCATTAACTTCACCAGCATATTTTTAAGAATTTTCGGAAGTTTCAATTTTGATTCAAACAAAAATTTACTACCATATTCATCAAACCACATATGCCCTGCTTCTCCTGCACCAAACTCTTCAAGATCACCCTTCCCAGTAGTTTGGAGAATCCAATCACCATGATCACCCATTTTTTTTCTTTCTGCAGTACTTGACCTTCCTGTGTTCTTGGCCACAGATGTTGCAATACTAGCACTCTCTCCACTGAAATGTTAAGATTATGAAAAGTTTAATGTTCCAAAAAGTTAATGCTCACAAAATTTTAAAATGACAGATTAGTTCATTACCGAACTACAGAAACTCCTTTTATATTTCCAAATCCTTGGTCTACAATTGGAGACCACACATGGCAATTATACCATGATTCTAAATTGTTATTTTTTAATCCACCACTTTCTAGTTCTCTAACCCTGTATGTATAAAGTTAATATGTATTTAGTGAACTGATATAGAATTTCTTTATTGTATCAAATTGAAACACAACTGACATTGCATACAAGGCAAATCTTATGTAACATCTGGAAAATATAAAAAAAATTTGCATGTGTCAATTGTAAGTTTAATAATAAAAAAGTGTAAAACTTACATCGGCACTGTAAGATTTACACAATATTACATCGGCATCGTAAGATTTATGCAAGTTTACGCTAAATTAATTTCCTGATGCTGAGACTAAGGATGTTAGCTGAAATGGTTTTTGAAAAAATCAATTTCGGCAAGCAATTTCAGTTTTACAATAAAATATTCTTTATATCAATAGACATAAAAAAATTACTCAGGATTTTGGCTATTGAGTTAAAGTGTTCAAATAATCTCAGATATAATTTCAACAACTAATGAAGTTGATTTTGGTAACTATTTCAGCATTTCGGATTCGGCAATGATCATTTATTAAGAGAGGCAATTTTGGCTAGCATGCTTAGTTATTACCATTGACAAAACCCAAAAAGGACCCATACAAAAATTTATTTAACAATATTACCTTATTGGAACAATTCAATTTTTCCCTCAATATAGTGCGATTTTGAATCTGTAAAGGAGAATAGAGATTGGCCTTCTTATAGGGTATATGTCAATGGTAATTATAAAGATTATGAATTCTATTCACCAAGTATGGAGCATTTGTAAATAATAGTGAAATGAATAAGTTAAAGGAATGTTATAGTGCTATTTATGATTTAAATAACAGATATATAAAGGTGATTATTTAATTCAATTTCTATTTCTTATATTTGAATATATATTTATTTTTTTGATTAATTTATGACAGAGGGTATTTCTCCAAATTGTCATAAATATGAAAAAATGATGAACGAATATGGACATGTTATAAAATCTCTATATAATGAAGATAAGAAGGAGAAAAGAAAAAATAATTATTTAGTTGCAATATGTAATTTGATTTTTATTAAATAATTAGTTTGGGCATACTGCAACAAAACAAGACAAAGTGAACATTGGTATTACCAAAATTTCAGGAATCAAAAGTTTAGTTATCATTAATACCAATATTGTCATCACTTCCATTATCATCATTATCATCATCAATGTTGTCATCAACATTATCATCAACATCATCATTATTGTCATTATTAATAAATTCAATTTTAATAGAAGAATTTTTAAAAAATGCAAATGATCAGCAAATGCAATGTGCATCATGTGCTTGATGTGTATTAAGATTGAAATTTTCATACTATCTCCAATCTAAATTTGTGTTGGTCCAGTCTGGTCCGGTCTTGGTCTCAAAAGACTGATCTTTTTTTGGAAGGCAAAAGAACCAGCCTCGGGACTAGTCTTTTAAAAACCAACACAACCCTACTTCCATCTCTAGATAAGAACAATAAATTGAGTTAAGATTTGCTGCACCAAAAGTCATTTTAAAATTATTTTTATTTTGCTAATCATTTCTTTTGATGTCTTCCAATATATAAATTTACCAATACTAATATTATTGCAAATGATATTTTTTCTAATTTTAGTTAAATGAATATTCAAAAGAAAAAGAAAAGGTGTTTGAAAATCAATTAACATTATAAATATGTAAATTAAATTTTTTTCTTTTTCTTAGAGGAGAAGTGACTTCAAAATCAACTACCCAATCCTTAAGTAGAGTATCATCCTTATGATTATTCTTATTAGATGAAGAATTTTGTGATTCTTATCCACTTCACCCTAAAAATTATTAAATTTTCTTTTAGGACCTCTAATGAGAATGTATGTGAAAAACTTCAAATGAGTCAAATAAATAAATACCCTTAATAATATAGTTGGCTTGGTCTAAAGACCTCCTAAATTTTGGGCAAATTTCAAAAGTATAGAAGTCATTTTCTGCCTTATCTTTCAAAAAATAGCTCTATTAGTTGACAGAAGATGTATTTAGTTTTAATTTAATAGAGATTTTCTCAAAAAATTTCTTTGTTGTAGAGTTCTATTCTTTTTTAAAACATGTACTTTACTATGCTCATGAGAAATTTGAGCACCAGGATCATTGCTAAATTTAGACTAGTTTTTGAGCATCATTACTAAATTTAGACCAATACTCAACCATCATATCTAAATTTGGCAGTAAGGAAATAATTTTTTAATCAAAAATCACGTGAAACCCTTTTTTAAAAAAATTTATTGCATTTTTGAACAAATCATGAAATCACAATTTTTGAAATTTGAGCACATGATGTGGCAATAAGAGGTCTTTAGACCGAGCCAATCATATTAAATAAACCAGTGTATCATAAATGTCATGATAATTATATATATTTGTAGGAAGATTAGTACTAAAAAGTTCTTCAAATATATATAATTGTGAGTGCATTAAATACATCACATAGCCTTTTAATTCTAACCCTAAAAAAATATTGATTAAAAATAAATATTCTTTGATGATTATTGATATTTCATTAAAAGATGTTACCTGAAGTCCTTATACCAAAGGATTTAATTTTATAAATTTCATTAAGCTTTATTCTTTTTTGATAATATTTCAGATACAAGATGTATTTGATTGTGAAGTAGTAATTGTAATTTTGTATAATCTCTTTTGCTCTTTGGAAGGTCTAAAAGTGCTACTTTTTTTTGCATGCTCAACACACAAAATTTCTATTAATTTTCTTTTATATTTTATTTTAATATCAGAAACTAGACCTAATTTAGTTCTTGAATCATTATCTATATTCCTACAATATTTATTAGCTAGTGTTCCTTAAAGATGAAAGATGTTAAATTTTACAATCAAAAAACAAATTAGTTATTTATCTACTTTGAGGAAAGTTAAAATAATTGTTTTCCGTTTTTGTTGATGATTAGAAAGCTCTAATCGAATTCTAACCATACTACATATTAAATATATATATAAAAGAAAATAATAAATGTTTTTAAAAAAAAATTTCAAAGTACTGTATATACAACAACAATGGAGATCTGCAGAAATATTATTTTATAGTGGCACAAACTAATGAATAATTGATAATGCTTGCAAAATATATTTAATCAACGTTTTATTATTATCAATTATTCAATAATTATATAGGAGGGTTTGATCCGAAGTCAAGATCTATGAAGTTTGCAAAACGAATGTTTATCCACTATTCAATAATTATATAGGCGAAGTAAGTGTTAGTCAAGATCTATGAAACTTGCAAAACGAATGTTTATCAATTATTCAATAATTATATATGCGGGGTTGATCTAAATACAATTTATACATTTATTTATTATTTTACGATAAGTATTTTACACATTACGTACATTATACGCGGAATCAAAAACATACCAGTACTAGAACCTTTTAAGTATTGGTTCTAATATGTTACAAATTCCGTATCTTATACATATGTAAACTCGATAAGTCGGTCATGTGGGGGTGAGCTCATATGACCGACTTATCGAGTTTATATATGTATGCAGAATTAAAACGTACCTTTTCATATTCAGTATTAGTATGTTGCAAATTCCATACTTATATACGGAATAAAAAAGCACCTTTTCACTATTAGTATTAGTAAGTTGTAAATTCCGTGCCCATTCAATACCTTATATGCGAAATCAAAACGTACCTTTTCAGTCAATATTAGTATTATTATAATGATTTTTAATTCCGTATATTTTCCGTACATTTTCCGTATATATTAATATCCATAAATTGAATTACATTGATAGATTTCAAAACTCGGATTAAATAAGTCCATTCCCATATCTAAAAATTTATTCCGTATCAAATATAATAATGAGGAAATTCTTATACATTCCGTATGTTTATTTTCTATAGGGAAAGAAAAAAATAAATCAATATCGTAATAATAATAATAATAAGATTATTTTCCTTCTAAGAATTTTTGCCTTTTGTTTTGTAATTGTATGTTCTCATCCTGCATTCTTTTTTAACATTTATTATTTCTCTTTCTTCTTGGTAAATTTCATAAGTAATCCATTTCTTTTTCTTGGATAAGTTTCCAATGCCTGAATATCGTTTATTTTGAAAATATAAGAAGAAAATTTTCGCCTTGTTCTTCAAAATACTTCTGATGGTACTATAATTCTTGGGTTCCATAGTAGATTAATTCATATCAACTATTTTTGTCTAGACAAATATTACATTAATACAATTATGATGTTAAATAAACACCATTGATCCCTGAAATTCTTGGTAATACCAATGTTCACTTTGTCTAGTATGCCCCATATATTAATCATACAAAAATTCGAGTGCGTGCGCCATATTAATATTTAGCGCCCGCCAATTCCGCCAAATGAATTTCATTATTGTAGATGCGTGTAACAAGACATATTTAACTTTAGTTAGATTGTTATTTTTTAAAAAAAGCAATCCTTCTATTTTTCTAAATTGCAAATAGCTGAAAATTATCGTCCCTGGATTTTTGGGAAGCGTGAGAATGAAGTAAAAAAGTGAAATATTGTAATATAAACAAAAATTTTACTGATTACGATGTTTCATTTTCCTTTAGAAGAAACAAGAAATTTAATTTTTAATTTTTTGGTATTATTTATTTAATAAATAAATAAAAAATCCATTTTATTGCTAAAAGTTTAGGAGAATTTTAATTCTAATTCCAAAATAAATAGTGTCATTTATTTTCACTTTATATATTCTTTAAGTATTTTCTATTTGGTATTTCGATAGGTAACAAACAACATCTACAACAACATACTAGAAAAACGTATTTTTTATGCAGAATACATACTAATTAGTATTAATTATTCTTAGTAAATGATCGTTGCATAATAATTGGTTTTTCATAATTAACTTTAATAGCTGCCAAAATTATCTCCGTAATTATTTGAACTCTTTAATATTAAATCAAATGACACATTGATATATAACAATAGTTCATTCATATAAAGAATATTGAAAATCTGTAATTATTGCCATAATTACTCTTTCCTCCAAAAACAATTATGGAAAACAACAACCATAATGCTAATACAAAATAGTGCTCTTTTCCTTACCTAAAATATAGAAGGCGTACGGAAAGCATACATACAGAAATTATACTAATACGTAAAGATACGCACATTTTTCCCGTGTTCCGTATTAATATTAGTGTATATTCCGTATTAGTGTACCTATTCCGTACATATTTTTTTATAGGGCATACACGAGCAAGGAAAGCAAATATTTAGTTATACAATGAATATTTTATACTATTTTATTAGTCTCTACATTTTCATAGATGTGTCGTCTTCCCTGTGCTCTCAAATGTTCACTTCGGGCTAAACCTATGTTTCCTTGAGCCGTTGCTCGATGATCAAAGAATATGAACATTTGAAAGAAATTGTAACAAAACCATTGCCTTATATGATACATAGTAATAGTAATAGCATTCAGTTTGTAAAGGGAACGCCATAAATCACATGATTTCCTTTAATAGTGCTCAACCTACCCAGTGACTGATCAGCACAAGATATTTAAGGAATCGGTCAACGGGAATGGGAATGCCAAAAGGTACGCATCGGGTATACATCACACATCAAATTCTGATGTGTACCTACCTACGTGTTTTGATAAGTCACCTGGTAATCACATGTGCTATTTTATTGAGATAACGGATATTGCTTTCAGAATCTAATGTAATCGTAACGTTTAGTAAATATTTGCTTATGAAGTAATTGGTTTTTTGCTTTGCAAGTTTTGTACATCTTGTCTTTGGTACTTATCATCAAACTCGTCTAGCATACATACAACTCTACCTTTTCTAGCGAATAATTGGTAAAACGTTCATGATTTAAAAAGAATTTTTTATTTATATTTAATATAATAATAATAATAAATATAGACGATACATTGTAAAAAAACTAAGGTTTGTCCATTCATTCCTCTCATTAATTCCAATGATCATGTGGAGAGATCATACTAAAAATTCATTGTTTTCTAATTTTGAATAGCCGTAGATAGAAAATCCTTCAATATGAAAAAACGTATTTGATATCTGATGCTACACAGCCACTATCCATTTTAGGTTTTTTAAGGGGGTGATAATCACAGCGAGCGATCAATATGGCGGGGAAGCTTATTTGTGTCAAAATGAATGAGATGGTAGATGTAAATAAATAAATAATTCATTACATAAATTTCTAGATCGTTTATTTATTGCACTTTCTAATTGGTAGAAACAATCTTGGGTTCAAAAATTTTTTAATTTTATATCGGGAATCGTCAGATTCCCAATAATTTTACATATATTTGTTTTTTTTTGATTAAAAAAATCTTTAAATTTCGGTTTAATATATGGGACTTGGACCAGGAAAATCGACCTCTCAGCTGATTTTTTTATTTTGAGTTTTCTTAATATTAATCCATTATACAAGGAGGAAAAAATTGGATATTGTTTGCATAGTAGAGGAATGGGATATAGAGCTTGGAATACTTTCTTTGTATATATATTAAAAACATATGTGTAACCACGTTTAAAAGGATTGTTACTAAAAATAGATTTTTTGTCTGAGGGGTCGATTTTCCCTAGTCCAATTCCCATATTTAAATATGCATTATCTTTTTATTGTTATGGCGTTTAAGAGATTTACATAGATATAATCCAAACTTGAATCTTGCTAATTGTTACACAGATAAAGAGCAAGATTTCCATATATGGCGGCACATAATAAAAGTCATCGAATTATAAAAATTTTAATATAACTAACTAGCACTGGCTCCTGAAAAAAATATTGAGCCTTGACTAATTAAAACCATTAATATCACGATCACATTATTATGAAGCGTGGCGTATAACAAATTCAATTATTTTGGGTCCTGAAATTGTTTTTGTGGTGTTATGTTCTTCATGATATGCAAAAATTATTAAAGTGAATGCAAAAATTATATCAATAATATTTTTGGTGAATTAATATTTGAATAAATGCTTGAATTAACCTTAATGCATGGAAGATTAGAGAGAAGAAGATTATCTTGGCAAAGTTTTTTCAGTTAAATCAGTGTATGACGTGTACTAAAATTGGAAAAATGAAAATGAAAAAAAGAGAGGAAATGATACTGACTTAATTAGAAGTGAATTAATGCCGATTGTAAAGTAATAATTATGACGATGGTATTAATATATATATATATATATGATTATAATTATGAATTTAGCAATTTAAATATAATAAAGAAGGGTTTTTTGGAAATAAAAAGAAAATCACAATACATATATTAATTGTACAAGTTATGAAACTTGAATACGCACAAAAAAATATGTAATACATTTACCAACACAATTGGCCTTCTTTAAGTTACAATTGTTTTTTTGAAATTGCCACATGCGCCAATATACATAACCAAGCACAAAAAACACGAATACATTTTAAAGTTTCTCAAAAAAAAAAATTTTTTTTTATTTAATTAATTTAATTATTTTGTGGAAATATTTTTTTTTTTGGAAATTTCCTTTACTACTTGCTTGCTATTTTCAAATTATTCCTTCAAATTATTATTCCTTCAAATTCCAGCCTCTCAATTAAATTATTCTATTTAAAAAACTACACAATTTTTTAATTCTCTCCGTATCTTTCTTCTTTAATAAAATTAATATTTTTTTCACAAAAAAATTAAAAAATGACTGACCTAGCAACAACAGCAGCAACAGTTGTCGCAACTGTAGAAGCATTAACACCTCAGGAAAACTCTACTCTTACTACTGCAGACCAAACATCTTCCAGTAATGATCACATTCCTAAAATCTTGAAAGACGAAGCAAAACCAACTGAGGAAGTAACAACAAAACCAACCGAGGAAGAGAAAACAAAACCAACTGAAGCAGAGACAACAACAAAACCAACTGAAGCAGAGACAACAACAAAACCAACTGAAGCAGAGACAACAAAAAAACCAATCGAAACAGAGACAAAAACAAAAGTAACCGTGGAAGAAACAAAAAAACCAATCGAAACAGAGACAAAAACAAAAGTAACCGTGGAAGAAACAAAAAAATCAATCGAGACAGAGACAGCAACAAAAGAAATTAAGGAACCCACTCCAGTTACCGCTGAAACCACCACTGCTGAATCAACGAAACCTTCTGAACCAGAACCAAAACCAACAACTGACGCCACTACTACAACCACAGGTGAAGAGCAAAACCCACCAGCTAAAGATACTGTTAACGTTATAAAAGCTGATGATAAAACACTTCCCGATACTCCAGTAGGAGAAGAAGTCAAAGCTAAAGTTGATGGTGATGGTGAAAGTTCTGATAGAGGGGCTTCTAATGGTAAGAAAAATAATAGAAAAAGTTTTCTTGTTAGAGTCAAAAGTTTCTTTGGTGGTAGTAATAAAAAACCCTCATAAATTTTCTTATATATATACTATTTAATACTACTAATTAATTAATTATCAAAAAAAAAAAATGTATTTTCATTAATAATTTAATTTTTTTATTTTCCTTCCTAATTAATATTTTATTATTATTTTATTAACTTATATTTATTTTTTGTTTTATGTCTTATTTTTGTTTATTTTCACATGGCTGTTATTATAGCCGTTATTTCTTTTCCTGTTTATTGTGTGTTCTTTATTTCCAATCTCCCAACTAAACAATTAATTTTTAATTTGAATAATAAAGAAAATATTTGACTTTTAATTCATGTTTTGTTAAATTTAAAAGAACAATTCTTTTTCAATAATATAACAATAATACATTATTCATTGATTGTTGAAAAGAAAAAAATACTAAAAAAAATTAAAACAACATTAATATACAAATTTATCAAATATAAATCTGAATGAGATTGTTAATATGTCATTCAAAAACCATAAATCTAAACCAGTTAATTACGTAATCAATTAATCAATTATCTAGAAAAAGGTTTGATTTGATGTTTCTAATTATTATTATTATTATTATTATTATGATTATTCTAAATGTTTTTTTATTTCTAAATCTTATAAAATCTATTTACTGTTATTTTATATCAAGATGACAATAATAATATTGCTTTTTCAAATTGTTTTTTTATTATTAATTCTTAAAAAATATTTTTAATAATCTAGACATTATTATAATTATTGTTTTTCTAAAACGGTTTTCTAATTCTATTATATATAAACATTAATTATTGTTGTTGTTATTGTTAGATGGATGAATAACATGAATAAAATGACCTCGGACATGTAGTTGACATTTTTCACAATCGGTTCGTGGTCCCATGGTAAATGCTATACATGATGATGAATTAGTGAATTGACGATGATGTTGACGTTGATGTTGATGTTGATGATTATTAGTATTATGATAATGACGATCATGATTATGATGATTAATGTTATTATTGTTAAGAGAAGATTGAAGACGTGGTGTTAATTGTGACGTTAAAGTTATTGATGATGACAATGAACTTGTTATCTGTTAATTGACATGATTAAATATTCACAATTAGCAGATGTTCATAATTTTATTCATAATTAATCTTAATTAAATAATTTACCATGTTTTCCTCGTCTAATTCTTCATTCAAACTAAATTGTTGCTCGTCACAATCCATTAGAGGAGAAGAAGAAGCAAGTGACAATGATGAGATTAATTTAAATTTGTCATCATTATTATTATCAACTAAATTCATTCGATCTTGATAATTCTCGATCAAACAGCTATTATTTGTTGTATTTGAACATAAAGAATTACGTGATAATGATCGTATAACTTTCTAATAATAAAAATAATAATGTGTTATGAAAATTCTTATAAAAATACACAAGAAATATTATTACTATTATAATTGCAATTATTATTACTATTATTATTACTATTATATTTATACCTGAGCTTGGTCAATCCTATTCATACTATCACTTCTAACCCTTTTTTTTCCTCCCATCATATTGCTAGGATTATTAACATTATTATTGATGTTGGAGTTACTTGTGTTACTTGTAGAAGAAGAAATTGGCGAAACGAAACCTCCAAAATGCCCTCTAACTTGTGGATGATTTGTATGACTTGTGTTTGACAAGTGTAATGTATAGTCCATTATTATTAATTATTGTTTGGCCGAATATTTTTAATTTTTAATTTTTTCTGAAAAAATTTCGTGTCTTTTTATAACTTTTTTTTATTTACAAAATAAATAATAATAATGAATAATAATAAATTGTTACGTTACCCATCCATCCATATCTGGATATCCATTTTTATGTAACTTTTCCAAAAAAAGTTTCATTTATCGCTACTATTGCACGTGATAAATTCAATTTTGGTAAACAACAAACTTTGAATTGTTTAAAAACTCTATATATATTATATTTCAGTTAAATGGTTTTTATAAATTAGAGATGTATATATATAGGAACGTGCATAATTATTTTTTTGAGTTTAATAAATTATAACAAAGAGAGGAAAATGATTACCTGGTGCAATTAACTTTATTTTTCAGTCCAAGTATTTTTCAAAATGAAAATACATTTATTGTCGATTATTCTTTAATTGCCATTTCTTCTATAATAATGATCTCTGGTGATAAAAATCTTAATAAGAATTTGTGTTAAAAAAAAAAATAAACAAATGGCGAACAAATTTGTCAAGGATCTTGTTCATAAACAATAAAGGAAGGGATACCATCTGTCAATAAAATGACATCAACATTAATAATCATTAATAATAGAATCAATGAATGGTCAAATACTAAAATCACATCAATCATTCATAGTAAGGACAAATACTTCAAATTTAATAACAGGCTTCTTCACCGATCTAAATAAATGATATTATGTCAAACCTCAACAATCGGAGAACAGAAAGATCAAAGGACATTCTCAAGTTATCATACAAAACTTGACAATGATAATTTAACCGATGCAAGAGATTTTGAATCCTTTAAGGGATTGGATCAATAGATAAAAATGGGATTTTGTCAGTTAAAGCAAAAGGCTTATCGCCCAGTGATTATAAAATTTATATTGTAGTCTCATCATTCTCTGTAATAGTGTCAGTATGTATATTTTATTATAGGTTTGTCAAAGACCCAGTTCAAACCGGTTCTGTGTAACAAGAATTAAAAAAATGTAACCAAATCTCACACATCACAACGATTGTGTATATACATAGTAATAGTAACGATGCATGAATGAAATTTGGAGCAATCTTTCTCAAATAAGATTTAATGAAATAAATCATTACATTAAGTGCCGCCGATCAATTATTCATATATAGCACAATCTGGTTTTTTTAAATGAAAAAAATTTTTTTTTTTACTGATGATATTCTTTACATTTCATAAAAACCTGTTTTCCTTTAAAACTTTTGCTATAGTGCGCGCGCCATCAAATGCTGCGCCACACTGACAAATCTTCTTTGATGTCACGGGAGTATAAAATCACATGACTCAATCATTTATCGTATTCGTTAAGAATTTGAGTATTCGAATTACATTGAAAGTTTATTCAAATAAATTTTTCGAATAAAATGAACAAACGAATAAAACAAACAAACGAATAATTCAAATAAACGACAAAACGAATAATTCGAATAATTCAAATAATTCGTATAATCAATTTCTTTATCAGAGTCTTCTTCACTTGATGCATATTCTAAATTTTTATCCAATTCATTATCTGATTTGTTTTTTAACATTTCTAGCTTTTCCCAAATGTGCAGTTTGCTTATTTCGTCTTGGCATTTTTTTAATTAAATTTGTTAGTAATGTATTGTTTGCTGATTGCTTACAATAATTTTCTAAATGAATTGTTCTAGTCACGTGTTTAGAAGATCTTACAAAAACTGCACATCATCAAATGACATAAACATTTTGTTTACGTGTTTTTTAATTAAATAAAAAAAAGAAGAAACCGAAACGAGAAACGAGCAAGTGTTATTATTAATTATTATAAAAGGAAAGTGGCAGTTGTGGTGCATTACAACTTGTCATCATTATTAAAAAGGATGGTGGTGGTGGTTGCAATCATTGCAACTCGTCGTCATTCTAGCTTTATTATTAAAAAGAATAATAGTGTTATCACCGATAACAATAATATTGAATCTTATTTATTTCAATTGCTTTAGAAGATAAAAAATAAAATAACAAAATTAAAAATGATAATTTTGATAATTTTTTGTATAAAAGAAGAGATCTAAGATAAAACGATCCAAATATATTACCGAATACTTAAAATATAGAAAATAATAATGGTATTACGTGTATTAGATTATTATTATTATTGGAAGAAGATTAGAAGCTAAATTTTATATATTTCTTTTTATATTCACAATGTTATTAATAGAAGCATATTTATCCAACATCAAATGCTAAACAAACAAACATACAACTATGTATGCTTAAAATCCTCAATTTAAAGTAGTTGCCCACCTACTAACAAAGTACATATGTGCAATTTTTATTTACTAATAATAAAATTAAATTTAAAAGGTGGGCAAAGATTGGTCGTATGTATTTTAAAATATGTAAAAAATAGAAGCATATTTTATAGAGATCCGAAATTATTATCAAACAAGAGAATGTTGATAGGGTAAGAATAATTAAAAATCAAATAATATTCTTTTCTTATCTTATTAGAGAAAAAATTAACTTTTGATAAAAACTTTAATGACAAAGGAGATAAACGAATTATGTAAAGTTTTTCAAAGTCCAATCATTTACTTAAATACGGTATATGGTCAAGAGATTGATCAGTTAAAAATTCTTGATGAATTCATTCCTGAGAAAGTATGATTGTATCATAAAAAATAGCAGCAAGGAGATCTGGACTTAGAGTGATAAAATACACGAATCCTTCCGCAATCCAGATTGTGATCAAGCCTCTTTGATTATATTATACACAAAACACATGAAGAAAGTATGAAATAATGGATCAATGCTATGAAAATGGAAAAAAAAAATGTACGGAAGGATTTCTTGTACAAAAATTTATATGACAAAAAAAATCTATGAAGGACTCTACAATGGATTGGACAAATAAAAATATACTTTTGCTAATTTTCTTTTGGCTTAGCTTAAAGTAAAATTTTCAATGGATGGGCACCTTCTTGGAAATTTGCCAAGTTTTTGTATTGTTATATCATTTCATTGTTTTCATCATTTCTTGTTTATTTCAAATTTAGTTCCTTCGATCCTCTTGTAAGAGTTGATCCTTCTTTGCTTTTCTCCTAGTAAAAGATGAACACCATTTAATTCTTATTTCTTTTGATTGTTGGATGATCAAATCTTTAAAATCTTTCCTTTCTTTTGGCTCCAAGTTTTATTTATTTATTCGCCTTCTTTTCCCATCCCTTACTGGCCTATCAAAAAGAATTGATGGTTTATATTTTGTAATTGATGATTTTTTATGATGTATTTTCATAATCCTGGAACATTTATTGTTTTTTAATGATTTTTCGGTTATCAAAATCATCTCTTCATTTATTCATAATGAGGATCCAATGAATAGTCTAAATAATAAGATTGAAGAAGAAGTCAAAATTAATTACAACACGATAAACTTTTTTTTTTTTCAGAAAAACAAGATCATATAACAGCAATGGTGATAGTGATTATAAATTCATAACTCATCATTCTAGTTTAAATTTACAAATAAAAATTCAACAATATAACTATACAAAATATATAAAAAACCTTAGAAAAGGGGAAGTCCAACTGACAATCTAGCAGTGTTTGTGGTATGATACAAGGTTGTAGAGCTAATTAATCAAGACCTTTCAAATGAATCTTTTTATTCAAAAATCTTGGAAGTTCAAAACGTACATCTTTTCTAACCTCCATTACTTCATAAAGATGATGACCAGGAAAGAGTTCCAACTTGCAGTCTGTTTTCATAACCAGAGAATAGTTTTCACTTGGAGATGTTAAAACGGCTTTATTAATAAAATTTGTGGGTAAGTTTTCAAAAAAGTTGCTCATTACTATTAATATTATTGAACAGTGTCAACCATTATTATTATCATCATCATTCCTGTTATAATCGTTTGATATAATTCACACGTATTTGAAAAAATATTTTTGTTAGATATACCTTGTTTTTTTTATCTCATGCTTTCCAAAGAATTATATTTTAATACAAATTTTTATAACGCTTTTGAATATCACATATCTGTTGCAAAAGAGGAAAAATACTACATTGGTATAATCAGCGTGTAATTAAAAACTTTTTTTTAAAAAAATGAATTTAGCATTACGAAGTAAATTATTTCAATCTTTTATTTAAATTTTTTTAAATAAATAACATTGCATCGACAATAATAGTTAATAAATTATACTTCTCAACACAATGACACAACAATAAATAACAATAACATAAAAAATAGGTCCTTTTGAGTTAGATTATCCTGTAAAACTCGAATCAAAATTTCAAGATGGTTCAATACATTGTATTTGTTTTAATCAACAAGGTACCATGTTGGCAAGTGGTTGTTCTGATGGATATTGTAAAGTTTGGGATGCACAATCAATGAGCATTGTTCATAAAATGAAATGTCACATCTCAACTGTTACTAGTGTAAGGTAGACGCGTCGGTTTTTTTTTTAAAAAGTAGAATAATTTTTGAAGAACTGTGTAGAAGAAGGTGCAAAGGAAGAAAATTAGATTAGAATTGATTTGATTTGATTTAACAATTGATTGATTGATTTAAATGATAAATATATTGTTATTATAGCTGGTCGCATAATGGACGATATTTGCTTTCTTCTGGTGAAGATAACAAATGTGTTTATTGGGATCTCAAGGAAAATACTCAAAAATGGATTAAATTTTCTGGGACTGTACTAATGGCACAAATGCATCCTAGAAATAAGTAATATTTTTATTTTATTTTTTATCATTAATATCGTATCATATCACATAACATCTATCATGTATCATAATATACTATAATAAATTATCAATTTACTTTTGTTTTTATTTATTTATTAACGTAGTCGTGTGTTTGTTGCAACAGTATCTCAAGAACCGGCGTTAATTGTAGAAATTACTAATGAGAAAATCAAAAGATTTTACCTACCAAATTATATGAAAGAAAAACCCAATATTACACCTGATACAAATAATAATAGTGGTGGAGAAGAATCAACATCTAACAATGATTCAAAAGTATACAAAATGTATATCATTGATTTATTTATTTATTTATTATTGTTTACTGATTGTACATAAAGCAAATCACGCAATATTTACCATATATATATATAATTATAGTAAAACAGTAGTATGTCAATTTGATAAGAAGGGTAAGCGTATCATAGCAGGAACTAATAAAGGACATTTGTACTTGATAGATGCTGAAGTTAGAAAGGTTTTTTTTTTTTTTTTTTAAAAAATAATTGCATACATTATTTACACATATTATTAATATTTTAAAAATTAATTGTTATTAGATTATTAATACTCATAAACTTAGTCATTTGGCAATACGTAATATATCAATTAGTCGTAATGGGAAGTAAGTCTAGTAATTAATAGATAAATTCTACTAGATATTTTTTTACTGGCCATTTGAGATTTTAAAATTTTTGTTATGATTTATTTAGAGATGTTGTGGTAAATGTTTCCGATAAAACAATACGTCTTTATTGTTTAGATGAAAATGGAATACATAATTCTGAATTACAATTTTCTGAAACTGTTAATAAAGATAATTGGAATCAATGTTGTTTTAATCAAGGTGGTGATTATGTGATTGGTGGTAAGTTTGTAAATTTTGGTAGTGATGAAATGAGTGAATGAATGAGCTATTCTATTGGTATTATTGGTCTTGTCTTTTATTTTTATTTAATACAAATTTTAAATGTTTTTATAAAATAAGGTTCCGGAAAATTAGCAGCACATCAAATATTTATATGGGATAGGAGAACCACAAGACTAGTTCAAGTTTTAGAAGGACCAAACGAACAACTAATAGATTTAGCACAACATCCAATACAACCAACTATTGTTTCTGCAGACGCTGATGGAACAATCTACACTTGGGCAACAAGTCATAAAGAAAATTGGGGTTGTGTAGATCCAAAATTTATAGAGGTTGATGATAATATAGAGTACGAAGAGGGTGAGGATGAATTTGATTTGATTTTTGATGATAACAGTGATGGCGGTGATGATGGTGAAATGATGGTGATGATGTCTGAAAAGATTAAAAAAAAAAAGGAAAGAGAATCCATTGAACAAGGTGATGACAATAATGACAATGATGAGAGTGAGGAATTGATTGATGTTTTAAGTATTGATAAACCGACTCGTTCTGATTCTTCTGATTGTGATGATGATGATGATGATGATGATGATGACGACGACGTTGATGTTGATAATGTTGATAATGTTGATAACGAGATAATGAATAATTGATTGTTAAAAACATTTGAATCGAATTTGAATTTAATCCATGCATGCATAGAAGTAAATTAAATAAATTAGAAAAATAGAAAATAGAAAATTTTATTCTTCCAATTTCGTAATAAGATAATAGTAATAGGACTCAATTATCACTCATATTAATATTAATATCATTTTGGGCCCCAAAGGTCTTCGTGCAACGAATTTTAAAAAAATCCTCACATTTAATACTTATAATTTTCCCAATAAAATGTCATCAATTGAAAATAGTTTTGCAAATTGGATTTTTTTACGAAAAGAATTACAACCAAATTGAATCACAACATAGAAGTTGGGACCGGCCAAAAAACCTTAACTGGTTAATAATATTAATTATATAAATTTTTTTACGTAAAACAATAAATTTGATTTTTATAATAATAGTGATAAGTTTTAAAAAATATTTATTTGTCAAAAAATTTAATCAAAGCCACTAAATTATTTTAAAAAAAGGACGTTAGTATGTTATTTGATGATTTAATAAAATAATGAATAATTCTAATTATATCATTCAAAAACCTTATGTCTTGTCATTATAAATCAACTGTTATATTATTGTCTTTCAGTAAACTATTATAATTTACTAAATTACAATACTTTGAATCAATTTAGCTGTATCACACTTTTACTCCATTTAGTCCATAATGTGAATGTGACTTCTTTCACCTATTGAAACAAAGATTTACAATTAAAAGTGAGATGTTTTGTCATTTTAAATTTCTACAAAAGCGTATATACGTCGATCTTTTACGCGAATTGTGATCTACACTTTAATCTGTTATCTTTTATTTGTGATGATATTTAATTAACCTCAACAACCTCAATAACATTATCTTCATCTAAAAAATCAAACCATAGCATAAATTTGAATAATTTTGATAATGGTTCTTCACAATGTGAATTAGGTTTGGGAAAAAATATTGGCAAAACATCACTTTAAGAAATACTTATCAGCAACAACTTTACCAAGCAGCATTAAATTTTGAAATAGTTAATCCAAAGGTATAAACTCTTAACAATAAGCTGTTGAAATTTATTATATTCGAACAATCTTTTGATGTTGTTGAAAAAGAATTTTTTGTTGAATTTGTTGCTGAACTTAACCCTCAATATGAATTACCATGTTGGCAATCAATATCTATCTGGATTAATTCTTTTTATATAAAAGGGTGTGATTAAACAAATGTTATTAAATTTTCTAATAAAGTGTCTCTTGCAACAGATACCTGGGCTTCTACTACCACTAATCAAGAGTGACAGCACATTTGGATTAACCAAGACTGGAAAATCTTACTTGATTTATTCCTTCACATGGCATTATTTTTAGCAGATAAAACAATAGCAAGGTCAAAAGAATTTTATTTGGTAGTAAATTATTGGCACTAACAACAGATAATGGGTCAAATATGATCAATCTTGAAAAACAGCTTGGCCCTTAAATATAGTAATAATGATTTTTTACATTTCAGGTGTATAGCACGTGTATTAAATCTAGCAACAAAAAATGTCCATTAAAAAAATATGTCAGCTAGTAAGTAATATTCATAATCCTTAACCAGAGTTGAAAACTATATTTGCAATTAAAAATCAAAATTTTCTAATTCCTGACTTGTATGTATTTCAGAATCACTTGTGATGACTTTGAAGTAGTCATTGGACTGAAGTCAGGGGCATGTAGCTCAAAAAAATGGGACAATAAGGTTAACTTCATGGTTGCTATGCATGATGTCTTGCTCTAAGAAGCAGGAGAAAATAATGGTGTGGAATGTGCTGACTTTAGGAATTTGTATACACTTGGTGTGCATCAAGGTTCTTTTGATTTAAGTTATGGAATTGGAGTTGATTTAAGCGTAGCAGCAGCATACCTATGGCCACCACTGTATGGTTCTTATGGTAAGGCTTTTTTTTAGACTTTGTATACATTGAAGTATGGTATCTGAGTAACCCATACAGGATGTTAGGTTCTCTTACAGTTGTATGCAAAGCAAAAGGCTTGTTGTGGTTATGCCTCTTGAAGAAGACAAAGCTACCTCAATCAAATAATGATTGAAAAGTTGGAAATGTTGCTATTGCAGGTCTGTTTCCATCATTCTGTTGCTTCAATGAATCTATTAACTAATTATTTTTTCTTTCACAGTCAACACTAGACCATATTGTGAATATTTGGAATGGGTTGGCAGTTGAGGCAAACCATTCCCAATTAAAAATTTATGGAATAAAATAAAACTAAAAATTATGAAAACTGTGCATCAAGATCACATTGTAATAATAGTAAAGAATCTTGAACTTTCCAAAAGATATCAATGTCTATTTTGTTACAACATGCCCATATTACAGCTCTTGTATTCTAAATTCTGCAGATAAGTTCTTGTTATCAGGTAGGTCCAATGTATTAATGGTAGAAATAAAAAATTTTTTTAATGTAACTTATTATGTAAACATTAAAAAATAATGATAAACTGATTGTATCACATGATTGTAATATAAAGTTGCAAAAAATAAGTTTGTTTATTTCTGCCAGTGATTACAAGCATAGTGGACTTTCGATACTATCACTAAACGTGATATAAAGTGACGATCATTTTTATACTGTGTAACTAATGTATTTAATTGAAAAGGTACTTTAAAACTTTAATAACGTGATATGAAAATCCTACTAAAAAATATGACGTGAAACCTTGCATATATATTCTTTATATGCTTGTTATATTGTTAGTTCTTTCCCATCAAGTCCATCAAGTTTGGTCATGGAGATGATTAAGAAGCAGATTTTCTAAGTTTACAATAGTAAAGCTGCATAGAGTTTTCTGAAATTGTTATAATTTCAGGTATTTTTACTTAAACTATTTACTTATTCGTTTATTTATTTATTATTTTATTTAATAATAATCTAATAGCTTAATAACTTAATATATTCAATAGCTTTAATAAATTTAATGGATTTAATATATTCAATAGCTTTAATAAATTTAATGGATTTAATATATTCAATAGCTTTAATAGAGAATGAATGGTAACAATTAAAATATCAAAAGGTAATTTATGAATCAATATACATGAATGGGTGAATGAATACAAATTAATTTTATAAGGATAATTGAAAATTTCAACCACAAATGGATTAAGATTTTACATATATATATTTTATTGAAATAATAAATTATAATATTACCAATCTTTTACATTGTCAATGGCTACTTGTATTTCGTATGAAATTTCATTCAAGTTATTAGGATCAATAATTACATCATCTTCTTCATCACAATCATCTACTTCCAAGTTTTCATCTACATCTTCACTAGTAAGTTCATCATTTTTATTTAATCTTTTTAAAAAAGATTTAACATTTTCATCAATCCCCTTTTCATAATATTCTTTACACCATTTACAAGTCTTGTCTAAAAGATTATAACATCTGTTATGGTAACCATGTCCACAAATTAGGATAATTACTTCGTTTGTACTATTGGATAAAGCTTGCCTGCAATGATCACAAATTCCAGAAGATGGTGTACAAGTAGTATGATAACCAGTTGGCAGACATTTTCTATCAACAATACATTCAAGTGATGCTAAATAATATGGTGGGAAGTTTTTCTTAAAAGGTCTCTCAATTTGATGCTCTGGAATTTCATAACTTTTTTCTTTATTATTATATATTTTTTTAAAATAGGATAATAAATAAAGACTAGTTTTTTGTATGAGAAATTCAATCTGATGTGGTTCGTATGGATACTGGTAGGCTTTTTTGAATGTATCAATGAAAACTGATTTATGAGAATCTAAATTTTTTAATCAAATATTAATAAAATAAAAAAAAAATTTCAGCTGAATAAATATTTACAACTTACCAATTATATATGCTTGATCAATAATAGATTCAACAGATTGATTTATGTTGATATTGGCACATAATTTACTATGGAAATTTTCAACATAGTATTCATTAAAATTAACAAGGTATTTTTCTAATGCTTCTGCCATAGGATGATTATTTTCTTTCCAGTAGATATAATCTGAAATAAATGCTAATGGAATTTTGTTATAATTTTTTCTTTTCCATCTAAGTGCAAATGTCCAAATTCTAAATATTGTTTCTAGATATTCTTCAAATTTACCAGAACGAAAAAGAATTGCATAAATGTCTAAAGTGGCTGGTATTATATTTTCCAGAAGGTCAAGTGCCATTATATATTCAACATCTTTGCATACATTTCCAAATTTACATTTGACAACTTGAGAAATTTTTTCCATACCTTTAGCAGCTAACTCTAACAATAAATTTATCCTCCATGGCATAGGTTTTTTTGCTAATACTTTATTATCACCAAAAACATGATGAAACATTTTTTCAAAAAATTTATGATGTACAAGAACTGTTTGCTCACGTGAATTCAAGGAAACATGAAGGGGACCCAGAAGTGGAACAAAATTTTTCACATTTAAATTATTTAAATTTTGATTTTCATTTTTTAATAATTTACTAATCAATTTTCGAAAAAATAATTGTCCAGGGAAGTCAGCAACAATAGGTATGGCATTTTGTTGAAGATATACCAATAATTCAGAAAGATTTGTGATCATTGAAGAAGCTTTAATATAATCCTCTAAAGAATGTAAATTTCCCTCCTGCAACCCTACAATACGAACATCATTCATTGATCTTTCTTCATGTTTCCCTCTAATAAGATCACGATACACATGTACAGTAAGAAGCTCATTGTTAAAAGAATTAAAGGTATTTAAATCATTAGAGATCCATTCCCTTTTTCTAACACTGTAGCTAATATCAAAAATTCCTTTATATTTAGTATTAAGATAATCTTTAATTTTATTTCCTTCAATATTGTTAGGATTATGTACATGAATTCCATTATTTATTGCTAATACTGGAGGACATTCAACTTTTTTAGATACACAGCTAGCAAAATGTTTTACTGTTGATAATGATGTAGCATCAGGTCTTCTTTTTTCATGTATATCATGAAAATCATCAATATTAACAACATGAAGACAATCTATCTAAAAACATAAATGAAAGATCAATTATTTTATAATTTGATTAATATATTATATTAATCAAGTTATACATGTTATAGAAATAGATAGGTTAGTCACTTGACTCAACCAGGTGACTTTTTGACACAATTAAAAATTGAGATTAATTTTGACAACATGCATATAATATATAATAAAATATAGTACTTACATTTGTCTTGAAATATTCATTTATATAATCAAAATGATCTTTTGCTATTTGCTTTTTAAATCTGGCAATTGTTTTGTAATTGGCACATATACCTGCATTTGCCAAGGTGTTTATTGCAATAGAGCTAGTGCCAGATGATGCAAGGTATAAACCTATATCAATTTTAATGGAGTTGGCAAATTTATTTCTAAAGCCAGCCAACAAATAGCAGAAAGCAATGACAGATTTTTTTGCAGATTCTTTATTATCATCAGAACGCTTTTTAGGAATCAATGCATTTGTCATTTCTTCAAAAAAACCTTGAAGTAAAGGATCCTTTTCTGTTAGCATGTTTTGAAATTTTTGGGGCTCTAATTCAACCTTTTCATTTTGTTGCCTTTGTTGAGCAAATAAAATTTTGGTCATTCGCTCAACTTGCATGGGAAATGATCTATCAACTTATGGAATTTCAAAAAAAACCATTATTATTGGTATATCAATCAATTTTTTCTCCTAAGGAGACAGCCAATTTATTAAAAATATGACAAGAATGGCATTGAGCTTCTTGCCCACCAACTAAAATAAATAACTACCTTCAATTTCTTGTTCTATTGTTTCTTCTTCAGTAGACAATTTTTTATTTAGTTGTTCAATTTCAATTTGTTTTTTTTGCATTTGATGAATTTTATTTAACAACAAAGCAAAATCATTAGTGGACATTGTTACTGAATCATTATTAATATCTACATTAATATCATTAAATGAAACATCAACTTGCATCATATCTTGATCATTTGAATCATTTAATAAATCTTCAATAGTATAACTATAGATTTGTTCTTGGAAGTTCTCATTCATATTTTGATTTTCAAAAGAATCAAGTTTTTTCCCTTTTTTTGGTTCACATATTTGTAAATGATGGAAACTGCAAAGTTGAGATTCGTTGACTTTTAAATAATTGAAATATGAAAATGTTCCAACATCAACTGATTTAGTATATGAAACTGCAGTAAATTTTCTATAAGGTTTTGGATTTTTACAATTAAGAATAGAACAAGGACCTTTATTAGATTGAGTCATTTTCAATTAAAAAATAAAATAAGTAATTATTTCGTGAATTTTTTTTATTGACTATGTCGATCGTGTAACATGATGATTTCGAATGTCGATCAAAATCGAAAGTCCACTATGCTTATGTTCGTCCGATAGTTGTTTATTTGATGATAGAAAATGGGAATCTACCGTCGTATGACGTTGTTAAAGGTTTAACTGATCATGCAGCGAGTGATGTATTAACAAAAATAGATGATAATTGAAGGTGTCAGGAATCTTACAAGAGGTTAATATTAGAGTTTCTTGTGATTTATGGGTCATATAAAATGATGATCTATGGCAATGTTGGATTATTATGTCTTAGTTGGATATCCATACTTAAAACGCGATTGTGGAGTCGAAAAATGATTCAGTCCTCCCTTTGATTTGTGGTACCTGTACAGATTTACGCGTCTTTTTTTCAACCAACCAAAATTAACGCGTTCCCTTAATTTTATAAGGCAAAAGCTTGCTTGTCCTACTTTCGTTAACTACTTTAATTGATTTAATTGATTTTCTTCTTTACAACTATACACATAATTTCAACATGTCTGCCACCACTATTTGCATCAATTCTTTCAATTGTACCAATGTTCCGTATAACAAGTATTTTGAATTCTTTCCATATGATAAATGGTCACTTGCTCGTTTTTTCTCTCATATAATCGATAATTACCAAAATGCTGATAAAAGAATGGCTCATCGTACGTTCTATCATCAGGAAAACTAATGTTGAGTATTATATGTATAATCATCATATAAATCACATATAATGGTCTATATGCAATTTAT